CTTTTTAAAAATGGATATGAAGACGGTATCCGGTAATGACAAATTAGCTGACTTAATTTAAAAGAAGTCTGAATATAAAAATTATGAAGTATTTCAAAATGAAAGACATCAAAAGGTGAAAGCCCAAAATATCAAGATTTATGGCCCATGTTACCATTCATGTATTAATTACACAATTATATAAATATTTGGTTGAACATTAATTGTGCTAGATACTGGCGATTCAACAGAAAAGAAAAAGTATTTGCCTTCAACAAACTTACAGCCTAAGTGGAAGGAAAAAGAAACAGTGCTCTGAGTGACACCTCATTTGGGCATCTAGTAGTGGGGAAGACAGGAGGCAAGGAAAGTTTTCCACAAGAGAATGTACTTTAGCTTGGAGCTAAATGACTTATTTTTCCCATAAATATTCATTGAGCAGTCATCTCATGCCAGGATTGCTCTAGGTCTTTGGTATACTTTTATAGGCAAAGCAAAAATAGAGGCTTATCTTTATAGAGTTGAAAGAAGTGTAGACTAACTATAATATATAAAATAAGCAAAAAAAAAATTTAAATATATTATGATTTGTGGTAATTCTATACTGGCTGATAAGATGAAGACAAAACAGATCTACAGATATAATGGTCTAAGCAAGGGAAATTAAACAGTTCTGAATAATAAGAAGAAATCAACAATTAGAATCACCAAATTTGACAGATGTATTTTAGAGAAAGAAAAAGTATATGCCAATACACAGAAACACAATGGCACATTTGGGTAACTTTAAGTAGTTCACATGACTTGAGAACATATTTAAATTCTACAAAGTGGGGCAGCACTGTGGCGCAGCAGGTTAAACCACTGTCTGAAACGCCTCCATCACATATGGGCACCAATTCAAGTCCCAGCTGCTCCATTTCCGATTCAGCTCTCTGCTGATGCATCTGGGGAAGCAGTGGACAGCCCAAGTCCTTCGACCCCTGTACCCACAAGGGAGACCTGGATGAAGATCCTGGCTCCTGGCTTCAGCCTGGCCCAGCCCAAGCCATTGTGGCCATTTGGGGAGTAAACCATCAGATGAAGATCTTTTCTCTCTCTCTCTGTCTTTCCCACTCTCTCTGTAATTCCAACTTTCAAATAAATAAATAAATATTTTTTAAAAATCCAAGAAGTAAGAAATGAGGTCCAAGCAATAAAGAAGAACTAACAATGAGGAACATCTATGTGCCACCATATACAGCCAATTTGCTTCTTTATTTTTTGGTATGTTCTAATAATCAAATTCTAATAAATATATCCATCACAACTATATAAAATGAAAAATTCAAGAACTAAAAGGCAAGAGCTACAGTGTTAATGTCATATATTCAATAAGGGATAAACTCAAATACAGAAAGAAATCTAAGAAAAAATAAATTATAGGAGAGTAAAAGGAAAAAAATTTACTACAAATATTTAGAAAAAATTCAATCACAAAACTGACATAATAGCCTAACAGTGGTACTGATTCTAATTGTGATTAACATTTTTAATTTATAACACAAAGATACAGAAATAAACAAACATTCAAATAAAAAATGACTAAATCTTGTATCATTACCTGCACAAGAAGGAAGTATTTCCCAAAATGGCAAGTCTCCATGCTTTAATTAGACATTTCTTAAAGAAATATCAGACTTAAAGAATTTTCAGTTAATTTTTATCACTAATTAATTACTCAGGATGCCAGGACAGACTACATGGTGCTTCTAGTTTTTCTATATACTGTATGCATTTCTGATAAATGGGAAAAGAATAGATGACCTGGCAGAAGGCTCAGACAATAATATGTGATTTACAGGACATGAATGCAGCTACCACAAGATTTATCTGACAGCCCTCTCCGATAGTGGACTGTTGAGTATCCGATGGAATGATTTCTAGTCTAGAAAGTCTACTACTGAGTAGCCATACACATTATTTATTTATTAGATGTTTTGGGTTGAAACCATTTTTAAATGATGCACTTCACAATGCACAGTCATAAATTTACCTTTAAACCCAAGAAGGGAGGTAGTGTTATTGGAATGTATGTCAGACTGAATTAGGATGAGCAACGCAACGCTTTTATAAAGTGGCCTTGAATGCAATGTCAATTCTTTCAAAAATGGTATTAATGTCAAATGAGCAAGACACAAACACTTTGTATGATACTGGACTAATATTATCTGTAATATTTACCTAACATTTTCTTCAAATATAGATTTCTACCAATTTGTACATACATACAACATATATGAAGTATAAATAAGTTGCATGCTTGCAACAAATTAAATCTGAAATATAGGTGATAACCTGTTCAATCTTTTGTGTGCATCAGAGAACATACGGTTTTCTAAAGAATGTATACAGTCTTATTTCAAGAAGTAAAGAGGACTTAAATCAACCATTGATGTTTCAATACTTCTTGAATTATTTTATATGGGATTCAATACATAAACAAATATAATTCAATAAACCTTGAATATATCTTAATTTTAGATGAAACTATGCAGAGTTCAGTAAGGGAGCTTTTCAACTATAAATAGTAACATTATTCCCAAACAATGTTAAAATTTAAATAGAATAAAATATGAAATTATACCTAATCCACTTTTAAGGAATATAAAATATTCCTGAAAATATAAATATATTTGAAGTTTTACATAAATATATAGTGATCTATTTGGTCTTATGGGTAACAAACCAAATATGATTATTTCCTCATTTCTTAAATTTAGGCTCTAAATTCTCGTTCCTAATAAAATATAAACACCTTGCTTTAAAAATGCAAAAAGAAAATAAGTTTCCAATGGATTCATGAAAAATAATCAGAACACGGCTGATTGTCATGAAATTAACACCAACTAATTTGTAAAGTTCTAAATCAAATTTGCAGATGTTAAGTTCATAAGCATATCCCATTATTTATGTGATTAAAAAGGAGTTTTTGACCTGATCTTTCGATCTTTGGCACTCAGTGCTCTCCATCTCCTCTTAAAAAATTAATTAAAATTTTAGCAAGATGGTAGCTTTTACTTCCCACCCTATCTCAGACTAAAAAAAATTATCAATCAAACTCAAGCCATCCCCACCCAGCATCTGCAAAATGTCGACTTGAAATTCAATTTCATATCTCTTAAGCTTTCATGTAGAAAAAGACAGTCCACTTCTTAACAAAATAAATCACTTCTGTGATTACCAAGTTGACCTCTTTGAATTAGGAAAATTCAAAGTGAAAAATGTAATTATCACCCAAGAACAATCTGTATACATCTGGAGCTAATTCTGGCTTCATTTTTCACATCATTTTTCACACTGTGCTACATCTTGTTGAGATGCCATAGAACTTTTAAAGAATTCATAAAAAATGTTAAGAAATTCAAATACCCAGTAATGTACTTTATTCTAAAAAAAATCCTTGAGAATTTCTGACTTTTGAAACATTTCTACTACATGATCTTCAAAACCCATTTGATTGCTTTAGTATTAAATAGCACTGTGACATACATGACAAATAGGTATATTAAAACATGTCATTCTTTATCTTTACAGTTTCTAACATTCAAATATGTAATGTAACACAACTGAAGTAGCTCTCCTGTAACCAAAATACATTTGATTCTTTTAAACTGGAAAGTGAAACTTCTTTATCAAAACATATCTATGACTATAAACAAGTCCTATGGTCCTTCAGAAGAAACATCTCGAAGTATACCTGAAAGCCTCTTAAAGGGGGAATTTTGTGCAGGTGCAAGATCAGTACATGGCAACTTTTATCCGAGAAATAAACAATCAATTATTTCAAATCAGATGATTAAATGGAAAATTTTACCTACTCATTTTTGGAGAAATGGCATTTTCTAAAGGTGATGATTAAATTATAGAAACATAGTGCTCATCGAATCTAATAATAAGCCCACTAAGAAGCATAACAACTCATGAGTTTATTATAAAAATCAATTAGGTGTAATCTCTAGAAATAATTGTTCTTACTACACTTTATTGACAATGCATAGTATTGATTTTTCACACCTTCTATGATTCTTTATTTTGTATTCATGAAATGTCCATCAGCACAGTCTAAATAAATTTGGCAATATAGGCACTAAAACAAATAAATCGATGGAAAGAAACATTAATTTTGCATTATCCTTATTTGTTAGGCAAGTAAACCATAAGAGTTGTAAATGAAGGTCAAAGGTTTTGAAATGGGTCAAAACCCTTGACCTCTAGACCAATACCCTTCCTATTAAAAAAGGCTATTTTAAAGTTTTAAGTAGGGGAATTTACTACCAGTAAGACACCACTTTTTTAAAAGACTACAAAGAAAATTCTCAATAAAAACATTCAGCGCTTTAACTGCAAAACAGAAAAGAAAACATCACAGGACAGATGATGTTTATGTAAGTTTAAAAAATCATTAAGAAGTTTACCATAAGAAGTAAACTGTAACAGTGTGTTACACTGTAAGCAATTTTGCTCTTAATAACTTATTTTCTTTATCTTATTATGATGGCTGCCACATTTTTGCTATGTTTAACTAAATCTATGTATGTCAAAATTAATTAGCAATGACACGGATTTAAAATTATTTATCACTCATTTTATAACCTCTGCACAAAGGGAAGTAAACCCATGATTCCCAGTGGAACCAGAGGGGCACTCCACAAGGTACATAAATAAACCTGCTTCTATAACATTAATATACACAGCAAAGAAATTTAATCATCTCAAGATAATTTGATCTGGACACTTGTATTGTAAGGCTAAAAATCCTTTGTTTTTCTTTATATACTTGCCTTCTCTCTCTAGTTTCTTCAAAACCATAGGCTATTAACACAGACAAGAATTAATTATTTTGTAGTACAAATTATTTAAAACTGCAAGCTCCAAACTATATTATAGCAAAAAGTTCTGATAATGCAAATATAATTTTCTTGTCAAAACAAATTCACATGAGAATATACTTTCAATTAAACATTTATTCCTATACTTACCTGAGAACACAGTAGCATAACCAATTCCACAACTGAACTACTAGACTTCATGCAAACCAGACCTATTTTAAAGAGAATTTTTTAAAAATTACAAACTAAAAAAACAAATGAGGGATTTGCTATTCAACTTTGTCCAAACTGATATTTAAAATAAAATTAACATCTTGCCAAAAAAGAAGGAAACCCTAAATTCATATACATTTGTTCATGATTAAACAAGATGCCCATATTTACTTTAAACCTGGCATCAAAACTACTACCACTTTTGTTAACTATCTCATTTCAGCTTTCAAAACACTGAAACATTTATTACAACTTCATACATAATGACATTTCACAATACTCACAGAAATGTGCACAACATATGCCATATTGATCAATATCATCTACATTTTGTTTTGGAGAGAGTTGATCGTTATACTTGCAGAGAAGGGAAATGGCTCCCTGACCTTTGCTTTCTCCACCACACTCTCTCCCTTCAACCTTCTAGCTATCAATCAAGTTTCCATTTTGTTTCATGGCAGCAGACATCCCAAACACTCTTATTAGTACCCTGACCTCTAACCTCACACTAAACCTTACCAGAAATGCAAGCGGTTGTCTGTTATATATTCTTGATTTCTTATAAATTCATTCATTTACATTTTCTCTTTTATGTTTCATTTTGGTTCAATGAAAAATCCTTGGGGAGAAACTTTTATATAGTTAATGCCCATTAAAAAATTTACTTTTGGTGACTAATAAAATCTAAAGCAGTTCATTCAAAGAACATTTTTTAACAACGTATCTTTACCAGCAATGTCAATAGTTAAAAGGGCTAGCTTAACTAAATCACATTATTACAAGTCAGAAAACTTGCAATTGTTTAATTCTTGGGGGTCGGTGGTGGTAAATACAAGCTTAGGCTCTCTTAAACACCTTGCTATTATCTTACTTTTTTCAACCCATTAAAACTCTTCCAGGTACCCTATATTCTTTTTATCTTCTTTAGTTCTTCCTCCTCCCTTTTTACAAAACAATGCCTCAAAACCATGGAATGCTTAGCTAAAGCTTGATATTCAAATACATAGATGAAGTACTGATACTTCATAGTTAACAATCAGATACAAAAATCTTAAATCATTAACCTACCTATACATTGTATTTCCATCATATTCTTATTTCTGTTTAAGAGGAGCTTTTTTACAACTTTTAAAAATTCCTGGGTTCAGCACTGTGGCACAGCAGGTAAAGCAACTGCCTGCAATGCTGGAATCTCATATAGGTACCAGTTCAAGTCCCAGCTGTTCCACTTCTATCCCAGCTCCCTGCTACTGAGACCGGGAAAGCAGTAGAAGATGGCCCAAGTCTTTGGGCTCTGGGACCCATGTGGGAGACGCAGAAGAAGTTCCAGGCTCCTGGCTTCAGCCAGGTCTAGCCCCAGGCATTACAGCCATTTGGGGAATGAACCAGCAGATGGAATATTTCTCTGTCTATGTCTATCCCTCTCTCCATAACTCTGCCTTTTAAATAAATAAATAAATCTTTAAATGAAAAAAAAAATAAATAAAAAATCCTCATGGAATCATCTAGCTAAGGATGCCCATCAAAAAATTATAACTAAAGCTATAGGTTATTATTTAAAGAAACCAAAATAGAGATATGAGTGTTTGCCCCTGAGTTCTTAGCTTAAGAAATGTCTTATCTTAAACCATCAACAATGGACAAAGACAAGTCAGATTTAATAATCACTGGGGATACTTTCTAATACAAAAAATAATTCTATATTGTCACTAATCAAAGTCCTCTAGTTTCTCCCTTAAAAAGTCTAGCTATGGGGATGAAGATGGTGTTTGGAAGTCAGTCTCTCAATCTCTTAAATAAAATTAATTGTTTGAAAACTAGCCTCTACTGAATCAGCTTTCTCCTGATTTACTAATCTTTATTAGGTGAAATAAAACTGAAATAAATAAATATGAATGTATACATGTTTTGTCTTAAGCATGTAGGAATTGAAATACTCTTTAAAAAAAAAACCTTTGTTTTTTATTTTGTTTGAAAATTGCCCTCTGCTTCCTGAGGAAATTCAGGGTAAGTCTATTTCCACTGCACTGAATCACCTTCTCTAATGCTTACCACACAGTAAATGCTCTATCCCCGCCCCCCACCACCACCAGCAAAAACAAGCCAAAAAAACTGCCAAACTGCCATTATTCCTCATTATTCCATAAACAGCATGGTTTCTTATTGCCTCAATGATCTACTTCTACATGCTATGTAGTTTGATAAAATATCAAAGTATATTACCGAGAAGAGATCCAGCAACCTATATATGATTTAAGTAGGATAAAGAACAATATCACTGTTGTCTCTACTTTTTGGTAAAACAGAATTTTACTAATGGAAACTAATAATACATTTGAATTATCCTTGTATGTGGCAATATATAGTTGTTTATAAGTTTGAATAAAATCTATTCACACTAGTCTCTCCAATTCTGTCTTCAGTTAATGTTACTATACTCAAAAATTTCTTTCTTTTGTTCAACACATAATTTCCTACTTCATCCAAATCACTGATAATCTTGAACAGATAAGAATATAACAGACAGCTAGTATCCTCTTCAAAAGATACAGACTCAATGAGAAGCCTTGTCAGAGGTTGAAAACATATAAACAATAAAACTCCATGTATCTCTTACTATTCATTTAAGTTTCTAACATTGAAATGCAAATATATATAAATGAAACAAAGAAAAAGTACTTACTTGTTCCTTCTATAAGCAGTTCTTGTCCATGGCTACCCAAAAGTGTCCGAGAAAGAAAAGGTGCAAAATCTACAAAAATCTCTCGCAGAAGAGGAGCTGCTTTTTCCAAAGCATGCTCAAGCCTCTCTGTAATACTAAGAGAAAGATGTTGTTATCTGAAGTAGTCAATGGAATGTTTCAATTTTCTAGTTTTTAAAATGAAAGATGTTATTTCAGTAAAATTAGGTATAAAATAAAAATTGACCAAAGGAGGCATTCCTGCTAAATATAGCACTCTTTCAGCCTGAATTTCCCTTTTTATCCCACTCTATCTTATGACCCCCAACCCTGCCAAACAGTCTGGTTAATAACCATTCCTACACCATTCTCATTGCAAGGATTAACTTATCATATCAGAGTACTGCATTTTAGTCCCATTATAATATTAATAAACTCAGTTCTTAAGCAAATGTGTCTGTTCACCACTAAACCATCAGCAACCTGAATTGAAGAACAGGTCTTATTTCCAAGTTCCCAGCTGTAGCATATAGTATAGACTCAATAAAGGTTTATGAACTGAAAGAAGCAGTTCATATTCATTTTTGTTGAAGTCCTAATGAAAAATCTGAGGGACTTTTCACCTACTTATACTGTACAGGTACATTTATAATTATTTCAAGTTACATGTTAATACCGTGTCTTTGTGACTATAGGTACATATATTCATGCAAAAAAAAAACCCACATGGATATTTTTATGACCTTTTGGGGCGAAAAAAAACCTCCTGCATTTCAGGAAAATCAGAGGTATCAGTTTTAGTTTCCAACTTAGAAACCAAACATATATACAGACAGCCACTTATCTACTACTCACACTACAGGTACTTTTAGTTCATATGACAAGATAGCAGTTGCTACTGAAAATTTTAGGGACAGCTGTGTTGTCAGTAACTATCTCTTCACAGGTACTACCCTTAATCTTATCTTTCTCAATGTATCTCACAGAACCTTTTCTCTCTGGATGATACCATAAGCCTATACCTAAGGGATGCTATAGCATTTCTAATTGTAGCAGGAAAAACCAAGAACTCTCTGACCACTAAGTCTCTAATGGTGGACAACACACTCATAGACACCAAATTAGAATTTGAAATGCATAACACAAATTAAACAAGGTAAGTGAAAAAAAAATCTATCTACAACTCAGTATCACTGTGGCTTTGGTTGACTGGCTGTCACTTAAAATTTCATCATTTTTACAGAATAGAAACAAAGAAATCCAAATGTTTAATTTCAAATCACTTGAAATATAAGTTAGAAAATGATTTACTCACATGCAGCATTTACTATTTATCACAAATTTCTCATGTACCTACATTTTATAATCTTTTAAAGTAAAATGAACTGATAAAATATTCCCAAGCCACTAAATGTCAGGAATTCAGGCACAGCAGAAAAAAGAAAAAAGAATGAAGGAAGGCAAGAAGGAGGGAAGGAAAGGAATCACAAGGCATGGCAAGGTGGGGCAGAAAGGGAAAGAGAGTCAGTGATCAGGAGAGCAGAAAACAAAATGTAGCTGGATACTTTGATAGATATAAAAACAATATCCAACTTAGGTACTGAAATACCTCATATTTGAAACTGGATCTTGTGGAACTGATCCAACTGTTGGAACTGAAGGCAATCTTGCATTAGATGATCCGTTACCTGTAACAGAAAAATAACCATTTACGTGAACTCTGTTTTAGATACATAGATTCAAACAAAAACATGTCTTCATGCCAGTCATCAAAAACATATTACAATGCATATTATAAAATTATTCTTTATAAAACATGAAAAGGCAAACACTGTTTTTGCTTGAATCTTCTCATATATAGATCTCAGTTACAAGCTCAATTATGCCAAGCAATTCTTCTATCCATGGTTTGAACAGGTAACAGAGGATTAAGTTCACATTCACAAAATTGGGTTCATAGTTCCTTCCATTCAACACCAAATGTCAACAGAAATTTATAAGCAGAAGCATTCTTTTAATTGAAACAGAGTTATGGTACAGCTCTACTGCCTGCAAGACCAACAGCCCATCTAAGTGGGCAGGTTCACGTCCCATCAGTTCAACTTCTGATCCAGCACCCTGCTAATGCACCTGGGAAAACAGCAGGAGACAGCCCAAGTACTTGGTCCCCTGCCATTCATGAGAGGGAGCCAGATGGAGATAGCGGCTCTTAGCTTCAGCCTGGCCCAGCCCTAACCAACTGGGGAGTTAACCAGTTGGTGGATCTCTTTCTTTGCCTCTTCCTGGCTTCAGATCAGCCAGTGCGCTGGCCACAGCACGCCACCGGAGCAGCCATTTGGGGGTGAACCAACAGAAAAGGAAGACCTTTCTCTCTCTGTCAACTCTGCCTGTCAAAAAAAAAAAAAAAAAAAAAAAAAGAACCCTACCTAACACCTTATATAAAAATACCCTCAAAATGATTAAGATCTAAAGCTATGAACCTGATACCATCAAAATACTAGAGGGAATCATCCAAGAAACTGCAAGACATTGGCATAGGCAAAGATTTCTTGGAAAAGATCCAGAAACACAGGGAACAAAAAAGAAAATTGACAAATGGCATGACATCAAGCTAAGTGAGACTTGATAGTTGTTTTTAGACCTTTTTAATACTCCTGTGGAACCAGGGTCTTACTATTTTTTTTACTTGTTGAATATTATGATTAGTGTTACATTCAGCCTGTGATTATAGAGTAGACTCAAATTATGCCTTTGCCAAGATTAAAGAAAAAAAAGGAAGGAAGGGAGGAAGGAAGCAAGGAGGGGGAGTAAGGGAGGAGAAAAAAAGGAGGGAGGAAAGTACTGTTATCTTAGAATTGTATCTATGAAATCTGTTCTCATTAATAAACTTTTAAATTTTAAAACTAAAAATTTTAAAAAACTAAAAATTTAAAAACTAGTTTTTCTTCAAACTAAAAATGAAAATAAAAAGAATCAAGATATAGGAATAGAATCATTCAATTTAAGATAAGAGTATGAACTGAAGAAATAGAAGGGGCCACATGCTTTCCAAGGCCAAAATTAGGGAGAAGAAGAATGAACACACGCAGTGATAAATCGCCCTCTGTGGCAATGGGGACTATAAGAGTCATAGAATTCAAGAGGGACGCTACCTTAAAGACCCGAAGTAAACAGGTGCAGGAGATGTATACATTGTACTTGTAGATGAAATTCAGGAAGTTCCTATTCATGAAAGAAGTAACCTAACAGGGTACTTTTATTGCTAGGGTAAATAAAAGCTAAAATCACATTATGATTCCATTTAGGGACAGAGTAAGAAAGGCCAAACATAGGAAGGCAAGCAAAACAAAGAATACGCAAAGCAGAGAAACAGGATCCTGGACTCTATGCACTATCATAGTTCTGATACTGTAGATCTGTTCTCCAAACTTCAGGCATGAGTATGCTGCGAACACCTACAGTGAGTCAAAATGATGTGGAAAGAAAGAGACAGACAGACAAATAAATGGTCATCTAGGAGGCAGAGAGAAAGATAGTGGAAACAGATGAGAAGGGAGAAAGAAGCTCTCTGATATCCAGGAGCTGGCTAGTAACTCTCAGCTAGGCCCTGTTGTTAACGGCTCACTTGGAACCGAAAACTAGGTCTTAGTGTTCTCTTATTGAATATAAACAATTTAATAGATAGGCTGTGACTATGAAGAATTAAAAAACAGGGAGGGTATTTGGCCTAGCCATTGACATTGCTTAAAACCCTCCATACTCCATGTCAAATTTCATGGGTTCAAGTCCCAGCGCTAGTTTCTGCCTCCAGCTTCCTCCAATGAAGATCCTTTAAGGTAGTGGTGATGCCTCAAGGTACTAGGTCCCTGTAACTCACGTGGAAGACCTGGATAACTGGATATTATGGGTATGTGGGAGTGAACCAGTGAAGGGCAGGGAGAGCTTGCTCTTGTGCCTGTGATTTCTCTCTCATAAAAATAAAAACAAAAAAAAAAAAAACAGGGACAGGCACTGTGGTTCAGTGTGTTAAAGCCCCAACCTGTAGTGCTGGCATCCCATATGGGCTGCTACACCTCTGATCCAATTACCTGCTAATGTGCCTAGGAAAGCAGTGGAGGACGGCTCAAGTGCTTGGACCCTTGCACCCACGTGGGAGACCCCGAAGAAGGTCCTGCCTCCTGGTTTTAGCCTGGCTCAGTCCTGGCTGTCAGGGCCATTTAGGGAGTGAACCAGAAGCTGGAAGATCTGCCTTTCTATCTCTCTTTCTCTCCCTCTCTCTCTCTCTCTCTCTCTCTCTGTAACTCTCCCTTTCAAATAAATAAATCTTAAAAAGAAAACATAAACAAAAATAAAATCACTGTAATAATGTTACAACACAAATACATGAACTCTGTCCAAATAACAAAAACTATCAGACATCCAAACCTTGAAAGAAGTAATTGCTGCTTCTTTAAAAATTAAGGCATTAGCCCTGGGAAAGTCTTCCCTGCCTGTAGATAACGTTAGGATATCTAATCCTAGAATTTCCCCTGCTTCCTTGACAGTGTTTGATTCAGAAGCCCCATTTCCTTAATCCCTCACCAAAACCACCTAATACAAGCTCAAACCTTATAATAAATGTTAACAGTCTATTCCTGAGTTGTCTCAAGTTCCCCAATTGTGTGAATGCTCTCACACACAGAATGTATTAAAATCAACTTGCTGAAGCAAAGGTATAGTCCTACTAGCCTTTGGTTGGAAGGCATTGACAGACTTTAAATGAGGTCAGGCAGAGAAAGCACTAAGCCAAGAAAGGTGTAATCCTTGGCCCATTTTATTTTTATTTTTCTTTATATATATATATATATATAAACAAAATTTTATATTAACAAAAATTAAAAACTATATATAGTTTAATTTTTGTTAATATAAAGAATAGATTTCATGTACTTCATAATGACAATTCACAGAAGTTAACGATATTTCCTCTCCTGTTTCTCTCCCTCAGTCCCTCTCCCTCTTTACTTTACTTTTTTCCTTTAATTTTTGCAAAAACATAATTGCAGTCCACTCAACAATAAAGCATAATGCATCACTAATTACAATATTCAACAAGTAAAAAAAAATAGACAAGAGCTACAGATGCAATCAAATCACAAGATGTCCATTTCATTCCTATGCATTTTTTGTTTTGTATTCTATATTAACTACTATATATCAGAGAAAATATATATTTGTCTTTTTGGTATTGAATTATTTCACCAAGCATAATTGTTCATTTTAAGAGAACCAGAATTAAGGAAATCCCTAACAACAGTTTCCAAAAAATCATATTTCTTCATGGTATGACATACATTATTCCATATAATAGCACGTCTCAAATCTGAACACATGTCACAAAGGCATCTTACAATTGTCGTCAGCTAGCAATTAAAACTTACTTGTGAGAAAACATGATCAGATAAAATCAGGAAAGCAACAGAATCAAAATATGACGCTTGGTAACAGTCTAATTAATTAGGGAAGAATTGTGGAACTATTTGAAAACTTAATTTAGCCAGTCTATATCCCCAAACTTATACAACTAGAGGAAACACAATTGTATAATCTAATATAAGTGTAACACTGCTAATGACTTGTTTGTCATAACTACTCAATTTGCTACAGTTTAGGTAACTGGATTTTTTTAAAAGTCCAGAGCTCTGGGAATCAATTACCATGTGTCACAACTGTAGTCGGTTAATTTTTTAATTCTGACAAAAATTCAAAAACACTATGCATTAAACAAAGTAAGGGCCCTCTTTCCCAAACTGTCTTACATGAGCCAGACTCAAAGCAGATAGCTGAGAAAAGGAGAGCAAGCACATCAGGTAGGAGGGAGGCTACAGTGGCCCACGGGAAGTTGTTAGAACTCAGTGTGAGGAGGTCATTTAAGTAGAAGATAAAAATAAGAACTGTGAGATAATGATATGAAATCAATGTTAACTATATGAATTCATTGATCCTAAAACATAGGGCAATAGAAATAAGCATGTGAATAAAAACACACATTTTTATATGTGCTATAAACATAAGATAACTTTTAAAAGTTCATGGAATGTGGGAATTAAAAGTGAGTTCATTTTTAACATTTTTTCATTATATGCATTTCCTACATCTTATGAAAATGTTATTTTGCACAAAAATAAACTCATACTTTTAATTCCATTTTCTCTAGGTCTGTCGAATGAGGGCATCTAGAAGCAGCAACATCTTAACACCTAATTGTCTATATTTTGGCTCTTTTTATTTTCCACTAAAAGAAAAATATGATCTCTGGAAGAAAAAGACAAAAGGACCTGGAAGCATGGATTTGTGCCTTCTAGAAAGCAGTGTCCAAGGAATGACATATGTCCCAAGGACACACAACCCAGCTTAAAGGAGCTCCTACTGACAAATCAATGACAATCTAAGCACCAAAATAAATAACAAGGACCAGGTATTTGGTGCAGTGGTTAATAAACTTTCAACACATGCATCCCATGTAGGAATACCTGAGTACTTGTTTTTTGTTTTTAAAAATTTATTTATTTATTTATTTATTTGAGAGGTAAAGTTACAGAGAAAGAGAGGGAGAGAACAAGGTCCTTCCATCTGCTGGTTCACTCCCCGGCCACAAAGGCTGGAGCTGGGCTGATCCGAAGCCAGAAACCAGGAGTTTCTTCTGGGT